ACTGGTCCAAATTTAAGACAAATTTCTGTCTCTGAATCAAGACTGTGATCACTGGCACATGATGCCAAGGCTGGACAGATGTGAGTCTCATATCCACTTGTGATACAGTGCGGGGTAAAGTTGGAACTATCTGGAAGGTAGGGACAGGGAGGCTCATCAAAGGAAATATAGGCTGCTGTTACTGCAGAGCTTATACACACTGAGCAGCAGAGGCAACCTATGCCTTTCTTCCTGTCTAGTGTCGAGCAGGTTGTTCATGAGGTCGTTCAGGTTGGTAGCAGAGCCTGGGATGGAGAGGAGCCTCAGAAAGCCAGTTTTTGAAAGGGAGGCATAGCATGGCATCTGTGACTTCATGTATGACACAGAACTTAGTACTACAAGTGTATTTTGATAATTCTTCAGATTGAAAGATCCTTAAGGGCAACGGATTTTGCATCCCTGATGCTGTTCAGAGGGCTTTATACTCAGTAAATGCTTGTGGATGGATGGATGGATGGATGGATGGATGAAAGAAAGACACATGAATGAACAAATAAATCACTGAATTTGATAATATATGATCTAGAAACAGGCTGATAGTGTTTGATGGGAAAGGGAAATGTTCAAAAACCAAATGCCTTTTAAAAATATACATTTTCTATTCAATTACCTCATAAATGAAGCAATGTGAAAATAGAATAGATTCTGAAACCACATAAATCAAAGCATCTGGCTCTGTGTGATGACTTCCTGCCAGTGGTTAGTCTCAGTTTCCTGAGAGAAGTCACTTTCCAGATAGAAACCCACACTAACCAAACTAGAAAAGTAGTTAAATAAACCAAAATACTTATTAATTGACCTGGAGAAATTACTTGGAGAATCCAAGTCACTGGCACATTTTATTCCTGCTTGCAATGACACTTGGGAGGTAAAATCATAACTAGAAGATTGTTTATAATCAGACAATGGGACTTTGGCTGTGAATGAATGGCCCAACCATTGGGAAATATTTGAAGGAAACTGCTGTGTTATTGGAGTCATAGGCCAGAGGCCTAATTCTAGTGATTCCAATGGACCAGCTTGGCCACTCATCCCAACTGACCAAAGAAGATACTGGTAGAGGTGCAGGCAGGAAAGGAATTTATTCAACACAGTCAAAAAACATCCTAAGCTTGTGTTTGAAGTATTGACAAGAGCTGCAGGATAATACAGGGAAGGAACAAAAGCAGAGTGGGGGGGATGGGCAAGAAGCATGCACAGTCAAGCAGACTTTGTCAAACTATGCCCTGGTTGATAATTACCACAGGATGGTCTTTGATAAGAAAATTGCTGCTGCTAGAGGGGAGTTTTGACCCTTGTTACAAGATGTTTATTGATCAGACCTGTTGTTCCTGGAATCCAAGGTGACTACAGAAGAGAATAACTCAGAGAGAGAAAAAAGTCAGAAGGGCCCAATGGAGTTAGTTAGGTCTGGAACTAAGACATTGTAAAAACTGGCATTTGATTATGATGTCCCTACAAATCTGGGAAAGTATCTTAGTTACTCTTATCATAGAGTCCTCAGCCTTGAGGGGTTAGGATTTCCAGCTTTAGATGAATACTTCATAAATGAGTAACATGTCTACATGCAGAGTTGAGCAGGAAGCTGACCCAATGTTTAAGGTAGCAAAAAGAAGCAGATGCAAAATGCAGGCAGAGGTGCCAAGCTTTTACCCCGGTTTTAGTTACCAACCAGGCATCTGCAGGTCCAAGTGAAGAGTCAGTGTTTTGTTTTTAGCAAAAGCAGCCTCAGAGTCCCTGTTACACTTGAATGGTCACTGACAAGACTTGTCTCTCTCTTCTTGGATGAGTTTGTACATCTTTCCTTGTTCTATTATATACTTATATTTCAGAGAGTATCTTATTTTATTTCCAGTTTTTTTAGGGGAAGGCTTACCTCATCCCTTAAAATACCAACAGTGAAGAAAACAACACCTCCCTCACGGGTATAATCTGCACATGAGCTGTGAGGGTCTCTGCCCCTCGTGATCTAGGTCAGATGACTCAACAACCTAGTCTCATAGTCTGTGAGAGGCCAGATTTCACCCAAACCCAGGAAGGTTTGCCTTCCCCTGGCCTCCTCTACCTCCAGTTTCCCCGTGGGCTCTGCTCAGCGTTATGTCAATCTGGACAGAAATCACAGCGTCTTCACCAGTGCCCACCAAAAAAAAAAAAAAAAAAAAATCTCACTCACAATAAACTTTTCTAAAGAACCGAGGAGAGGGGAAGGCCACTGGCAAGACTTCCATGCACGTGAGTCAGTGGGATGCTTAAAAGCTTCACTAAACATTCCTGTCTACTAAAGTCCCTTCTGAGCATCCTGACACCAACGTCTTATCCTGGCCCTTCCCCCCGAATAACCCCTAATTTCACTTCCTCCCCACACTTGTGTTCCTTCCTTCCTCCTTTCTCTCGCCTCTGGTCTCTCTCCCCTTCTGTAGGGTGTCAGATACTCGAGAGGTTCCACCCTCTCTCTGGACCCTCCTCCACAGCTGAAACCCAGTCCTGAGGATTTCACCTTCTAATATTGACTGAAAGTGCTTTCCAGCACTGGGGGTGTAGTTTAGTGGCAAAGTGCCTGCTCTGCAGGCTCTGGGTTCAATCCCTAGCACCAAATAAAGTGTTTTACAAACTATGATTCCTTTCTAAAATGAATTCTGGGGTCATCTATTAAGGTAATAAAAGTATTTCCTATTTTATTGTACTTAGGATACAAATTCAATAAATAAACTTACAACACCTCCTCTTGTTCTTCATTTACATAATACACTGTTAATCAATAACAATTATATGGCCATGTTAACTGTGTTGTTTCTGTGCCTCTTCACATTCCTATGTTCACTTAGAGGACATCATCAACCAACAATTTGCTGTTACCTGTATTTCCCTCATATCTGTAGGCTTTCAAAGACTATTGGTGCTAAATCCTGGCTTCCCATTTACTAGCTGTGTGATCTTGTACAAATTACTTAAACTCTCTGGTGTAAACTGGGGTGAAAGGCTCATAGACTTCCTGGGATAATTAATGTAATTCATCCATATAAAGTGCTTTAGTACATAGTAAGGGCTCAGTAAATGTTAGCTACCACTTTTCAGAAATAGTGGAGTAATGTGCCTTTATCAATATAAAGACAAGAGTTTATCCTTTGCTCCTTAATGAACTCAGCCTTGAGCCAAGGTCTAGATTCCACACCATATCTTAATGTGACAAGATCAAGGCTGAACTTGCTGGTAGCTTGGGCCACAGAAGATGACCAGAAGCTAACCCAGTTAAGGCCTGCATTCAGAGGTGGAGGGGGAACAATAGACTCCAGCCCAGAAGAGTCAGAACTGGGAGAGATGCTCACTACCCTCAGGTGAGTTCATGTGCAGGCCGGATGATTCAGGTGTCAAGCCCGGAGGGTCCCAGGGCTGGCTAGACGGTGCAGACACAGCTTCCTCTGAACCTGTCCTAGATCAGATGTGGAAACCTCAGAGACCCCTTCGAATTTCAGAGGGAAAGAACTGAGACCCATAAATCCAGAGAGGAGCAAGTTTGCCCCCTACTGTCTGCAGCCCCAAGAGGGGACAGACTCCTTGATCAAGAGGCAGAAGCCATGTTCGATGGCTAGGGTTGTTCTTTCTGCTGGCCATATCTGATTGGAGAATACCACTTTCCCCCATGACCCACCCCTCCCTTGGAGGCTCTGCCGCACATGGAACTGGCTGGTCAGGCTGCTGTTGTAGCTTCTAGAAAAATAGGTTAGGAATGGAGTGGGAGAGCCAGGCCTGGAGAAAAACAGCCACTGAGCCAAATCTACAAGGCACATCTAGCAGGGCATTGGAGTGGGGGGGGTGGAAGGGGTAGAGGACTGGATGTATCTTTCTCTTTGCAGAAGGCAGAGTTGTCTGGGTCTGGACAGAGGGGTGGAGGGGTGGGGGGGCTGAGCAGTGACAGGAAAGGCTAGAGAGGGAGATGAAAGCTCACTAAAGCATGTATCTACACAAAAACCACTTGGATTCCAATCTCTACAAGACTATATGAAGACTATATTATCCATCTGGCTTTTAAACTCTCCCTGCGGACTTGAGTTTGGGTTCCCACTGCTACCTGCTACTGTGGCTGAGTTGAAGTTGTTCGTGGGAGCTTGTGAATGGAGGCTGTGTGGTTTTGATTCTGCATCCCTAGGGGTGGCCCTGAGCAGTTGCTCCTTGTTGTATTTTAACCCCATGCACCATTCTCGCCCCAATTGCAGAAGTGTGCACTTAAAGGAGGAAGCTAGGAGTGAGGGTGGGGGTGGGGAAAATCGAAGGCAGAGGTCTCAGCCCAGCCCAGGACAGGGAGACCATGAGACAGAGGAAGAGCAACCACTAAGAGGTAGAAAGAGTCCCTGGGAATTTTACGATGGCGAAAATGACCCTGCCCTTTCCAGTAGGCTCAGTTCCCTACCAGAGAGCCCAGGTTTATCATGTGGAGGCTTATGTAGGACTGGCCTTATGGGCCAGGTTGGCTCAGGGTCCATCAGTGCAGATGCGTGGAGACCTTTGGCTTAGAGAAAGGCCTGCTACTGAGTTGCCTTCTCTCAAAGTCCGTGCTCCTAACTCCCTACAGCACACCGATCCCCTGTTGCCTATAAACTCCACAGATAAAACTTGACACCCCAGAATTTATTCCTAGCAGAACCCAGGGCATTCCACCCCTTGCGCCCAAACCCTGGGGGGAAAGTCCGCAACGACCCGTGGGAGGTCCGGGCACACCTGGCTGTGGGGAAATTGGACCGTCAGGCGGCCGCGATCGCAGGTGCAGCGTGGCGCGGCGGCCAGCGGGTGGGCGCGCGGGGAGGGAGCCGGGACAGGCAACGCGCTCCCCCGCGCCCGGCTTCGCTGGAAGGTCGCCAGCCCTGCTCCGCCGGCCCTGGGTGGAGGCGAGGGCGGAGCGCAGCCTTTTCTCTCCTGGGGAGGAGTGGCAGCGGCCAGGGAGCTCACTTGGCAGCTGGACTGGCTGCTGTCACTCGCGCTCTCCGACTGAGCTCTGACCCTTTGTAGCAGCCAAATTTGGGAGCATCTCTCTGTCGTTGCAGCCAGCAAGCCTTTCGGTCTGCCCATCAGACAGATCACATGGGTCCCGAGGTCACCTGCCCGTGGAAGGGCCACATGCCTCGCTTACAGGTGAGGACCTGGATCGAGCCGGTGGTGGCCTCCGCCCAGGTGGCCGGGTCCCTCTACGACGCCGGGCTACTCCTGGTGGTGAAGTCGTCCTTCGGGGCAGGCGGCTCCTCCAACCACAGCGCCAGTCCATCGCCACGGGGGGCCGTGGAGGACCAACAGCAGAAGGCCATCTCCAATTTCTACATCATCTACAACCTCGTGGTGGGCCTGACGCCCCTGCTGTCCGCCTATGGGCTGGGCTGGCTCAGCGACCGCTACCACCGCAAGATCTCCATCTGCACGTCGCTGCTGGGCTTCCTGCTGTCCCGCATCGGACTGCTGCTCAAGGTGCTGCTGGAATGGCCGGTGGAGGTGCTGTACGCGGCGGCGGCGCTCAACGGGCTGTGCGGTGGCTTATCTGCCTACTGGTCCGGGGTCATGGCGCTGGGATCCCTGGGCTCCTCCGAGGGCCGCCGCTCCGTGCGCCTCATCCTCATCGACCTGGTCCTTGGCTTGGCGGGGTTCTGTGGGAGCATGGCCTCAGGCCATCTCTTCAAGCAGATAGCTGGCCACTCTGGGCAGGGCCTGGTGCTGACCGCCTGCAGTGTGGGCTGTGCCACGTTTGCCCTTTTGTATAGCGTCTTTGTGCTGAAGGTTCCTGAGTCTGTGGCCAAGCCCAGCAAGGAGCTCCTCACTGTGGATACCGTGTCTGGCACGGTGGGCACCTATCGTACCCTAGACCCTGACCAGCTGGACAAGCAGAGTGTGGTAGGGCACCCTTCTCCATCTCCTGGAAAATCAAAGCCCCCCAAAACCATCATTGCCCTGCTGTTTGTGGGTGCCATCATCTATGACCTGGCAGTGGTGGGCACGGTGGATGTGATGCCCCTTTTTGTGCTGAGGGAACCTCTCAGTTGGAACCAAGTGCAAGTGGGCTATGGTATGGCCTCCGGGTACACCATCTTCATCACCAGCTTCCTGGGAGTCCTGGTCTTCTCCCGCTACTTCCGGGACACCACGATGATCATGATTGGGATGGTCTCTTTTGGGTCAGGAGCCCTCCTCTTAGCCTTTGTGAAAGAGACATACATGTTTTACATCGGTGAGTCTGGCATTCTTGGGGAGGCAGGACACGGCTGGCCCTCTGTGTTAGGAGGTTGACACCAGAGATGGTGTGGTCTAGGAGATTCAGCTTGCCACCAGGGATTGAACTTGCTACCTAGGAGGCACGAGGAACACAGGATCCTGTGCGCTTGAGTTTATCTGCATTATAGTACGTATACTTGAGTGGTACGTAAGACCCTAGAAGATCAAGGAAGCATGGTCAGTGGTACCTGCAGTCAGTACAGGAGACTTTCAGGTGGCTTTGAATGGAGATGGGGCTGGGTTTCTTCTCTCCCATTTTAAAGGGATAAAACTAATTCAGCTGAAAGTTCCCCTGAGTAAAATCATTTAGGGCCAAACAAGGGCTTTTAAACGATGCATATAAATTCTCAATAAATGGCTTCTACACCCACTGGAATAAATTCCCACAAGAAAGCAGAATGAAGTTTGTGAGGTCAAAAAGCAGACACCCACAAGCAGAGAACTCCAGACTAGTGCTCTAATAGAACTTTCTACAACTGTGGAAATGTCCTGTATCTGGTCTGTCCCATACAGTAGCCACTAGCCACATGTGGCTATTAAGCACCTGAAATGTGGTTAGTGCTCCTAAAGAAGAGAATTTTAAATTTGATTTCATCTTCATTAATTGAAATAGCCACATGTGGCTAATGACTAACATACCGGAAAGAATAAGTCTAGATGGTTACCTTGGCCCAGGTCACACACCTCAAAAACCACTTAACAAAATGGAAAGATAAACTCTAGTTCCCAGTTAAGAAGGCCACATGGACACAGTATCCCTCTCCCATTCTCTTCTCCAACTCCTCCTCCTTCTCCTTCCTCCTCTCTTCTCCCCCTCCTTCTCCTCTCTCATACTCTCTTACAGTGCATCCAGCTAATGAACCGGGCTAAAGGGGGGGTGAGGGGGAACATTTCTGGAAGCAGTTTGTCAAAGCTTCTAGGACCATTTTCAAGGGAGGTTCGTGAATAGCAAGGACAGGTACTTCTCTCTTGTGTCACTTTTATGGCACCAGCTCCACTACTCTAGAAACCACTTAGTTCTGCCAATAAAGTCCATGAGTCTCCATGTCACCTTTGTCCTGCCACCTTACTGGTTGGTGGTATACAGCCTATCAGAGCTCAGAGAGGCCGAGTCTGGCCTGGGGAGGGCGCCTGTCTGCCAGCACAGAAGTTATTTCTTCCAGGCCAAGCCTCACAGGCGTTGTGGGGAGAGGGGCTGGAAACAAGGCTTTTGCTTTATTCTGATATCCTCCTTGGCCAAGGATGGGCTACAGTGAGGAGTACTCTTGTGTGATCTTTTACAGCTCGAGCCACCATGCTATTCGCGCTCATCCCCATCACAACCATCCGATCGGCCATGTCTAAACTCATAAAGGGTTCCTCTTATGGTGAGTAAGAGAAGTTGCTCCAGGATCTTCTTCCTGGGCTATTTCAGAGTTGCTCAGCTTGAGGCACAGACTTGCAGAAGACACTGGAGAAAGTTCCAGAAGCATCTTCAAATACATGAGGAACATGCTGGTTTCCATCCAGGGTACAAAGAGTAAAGCCAGGAGGGTGGGAAAGACTTAGATCAGTCACTGAAAAGCCATAAAGAAAGATACTCCAGGAAGACACAGTGAGATGGAGGCAGGAGTCCTGTCAAATTGAGTCATGAAGTCTGAAAAGGAGTCCTTAGAAGTCCTCTGTGCTTCTTAGAGACTTGGCTAGGGGGGAACAAGGGACAACAACACATTTCTGTGTAACCTCTGTCCCTTCCACAGGAAAGGTGTTTGTCATGCTGCAGCTGTCTCTCGCTCTGACTGGGGTGGTGACATCTACCATATATAACAAGATCTATCAGCTCACCATGGACAAGTTTGTAGGCACCTGCTTTGCTTTGTCCTCCTGTCTCTCCTTCCTGGCCATTGTCCCAATTGGGTAAGAAGGGAACAAGTGGCTGCTGGGGATGAGGAGAAAGGGAGGGGCTGGTTCTTAGGTCAAAATTATTTGATCATCATCTCCCACTCACCAACCCCAGATGATTTATTTTCAATATTTAGGCAGCAACCTCTGAGTAGGCTAGCTCACAAAGAAAAAGTCCTCTTTTTCCTTTAAACTGATAATCTGGCAATCTGATATTTCTCCCAAATCACAAATAATGATCAGAAAGCCTCAAGCAGTTGGCTCACTTTCTGGCAGTGTTGCAATGACAAGTTGTTTATAGGAGCTTCAGTACTTCCTAATAACTGCTGGGATTAGAAACTCTCTTGAACCAATCACACCTCTTGTTTGGCTCTCTTTAGGTGCGAGCAATCCAGCCTTTCTGAATACTCTTCTTTCTCTGTGTCCTGAAACTGTGTGAGCTCCCCAAAAGGGCGTTGGGCAATTCTCTTAATTTCCCTAGGGGGTGCCATTTGTGCAGCAAGAGCACCTAACTGTGAGCAATCATAGGCAGGAGGAGGACCTAGAAGTAAAGGAGAGGCTTGTTGGTCCATGGCCAAGCAACAGCCAAGGTCATTAATGAATAGAAAGAAAGCATGGAAAAGTTCTGCCTTCAACTAGCTCTGTCCAATAGAAATAAGAGTGTGGGCTGGCAGAGTGGCTCACGTGGTAGAGCACCTGCCTAGCAAGCATGAAGCCCTGAGTTCAAAACCCAGTACTGCCAAGAAAAAAAAAAGAGTGTGAGTCACAAAGGCAAGCCAAATGCGTGTTTTAAATTTGCTAAGAAGCCACATTTTTAAAAGATAAAAGTGATAGCTGGGATTAATTATAACATAACTGGGCATCCAAAACACATCTTAACATGGAATTAATTTATAAAAATTAATCAATGAGATATTTTACTTTCTAAAAATAAGTCTTTGAAGTCTGGTTATATATTTTCATTCTTTCCTTACAGTACATTTGCACAAGTCACATTTTGAGTGTTCAGTAGCCACTTGTAACTAGTGAGGTTGTCTTATGTGTCAGTGCTGCTGACCAGAAAGATATATAATATATATTATATATCCAGAAGATAAATATAGCCACAACAAAGTACAAAGAATTTTATATATTTGCATTTTTAAATGGACCTACCTAGTAGCATGTGAATATTCTATGTATCATAATGGTGGAGTTATAGGTAGCAGAGGAGAAAATAATTGAAGGCAGCTTGAAAGGGGACAGTGCTAAAGACTTTTTGGTAACTCACTCTCACATCACAGGTCTCAGCTGAGCCTCCTGGGATAGAAGCCATCGGTTATTAAGGTTCTTTGCTTTATTTCTTAGTTGAGAAAAATAAGATGTGGAGATCAAAAGACTGAGAGAACCTGGACAAGCAGAGGGCCATGACCAGGTCTCATGTCCTAAGGTGAGGAACTGAGCCAGGCCTGTCCTCGGACTGTCCAGACCTTAGGCCTTTACATAAGAGTCCTGGCTGAGTGGTTGGACTAAGAATGAGCACCCAATGCAAATTCTTCAGAACTCCTAGCTCCTTGGCTGACTGAATAATGGATTAGTTTTGTCCACTTGAAAATTATCCAATTCTAACTCATTGGCAGTTGGTTGAACTAGTCTCTTTAACTTAAACAAATAACAACAAAAACAATAGAATACAAGTCCTACTAGTTAATGAGTGTCATAAAGACAGAAACTGACTGTTGAAAACAATAAGAAAATTCAACAATTTGTTCTTTCAACACTTTCACCTGCGTGGGTGTGCTAAGTAGGGTGGCTTGCCTTTATTTAGAGATTTGAGGTTACACAAAGCAGGCGTATGGCCTGTAACACCTCACCCCAGTGCACTTGGACTCAGTCATTTATTTGTGCAGCAGATTTTAATTAGTTGCACACAGTTTTTGTGATTTTATGTCATAGAAGCAGGGAGCATTCTGGAAACACTCAAGTATGCAATTGATTGGATGCGCACACGAATAAGGCACTTAAGCAATTGCTAAGTGTTTCCCTCTATCACAGGCAGTTAGCAGTAGAGAAACACATGTGCAAACAAAGTCCAGGTCTCTGTACATGGAATGACCAGGAAAGTCTTAAAAATTATTGCTGCCAGGACCCCACCCCAGAGATTGTAAGTCTGAAAACTTATGGTATAAAAAGGCGGTTTCCATTACCTTTGCTCTCACTGAAGTCACTAAGTAAGTGAGAGCCTGAAAAATTCTTACAGCTAGAGGAGGCCAGGCTGTACCGTCAATCATTGAGAGGGACAGAAAAGACCAGTTAGGGCTCTCTAACCACAGAAGGAAAGGCTACATCCCAATGACAGAAAAACCCAGGAAGGCATGTCAGAGCAGAGGAGGATGCAGAAGGCAGGAGGCTGGACCAGTGGCAGTCTACATCACCTTCCTTGGTGCCAGGAGAGGTCCCCAGGCCAGAGCTACAAACAGCCTGTTTGCAACCCCAAGGTGCTGTGGTTATCAAAGTGAGCTCATTTCCCACTACTGTGAGAACCTACCTTCTGCCTCCTCCTCTCCTTTTTGTTTTGCAGTACTGGGGCTTGAACTCAGGGCCTACACCTTGAGCCACTCTACCAGCCCTTTTTTTTGTGTGTGTGAAGGGTTTTTTTGAGATAGTGTCTTGTGAACTTTTTGCCTGGGCTGGCTTGGAACCGCAATCCTCCTGATCTCTGACTCCTGAGTAGCTAGGATTACAGGCCTGAGCCACCAGTGCCCGGGTCTGCCTGCTCTTCTTTACATGTGATAGGGAGATGCTGAGGAAGTCACTGTGTGGTTCTGCTTGTCACAGCCTTCTTCCACCAGCCCTGGGATACGCACACACTCAGCAATGCCGCAAATTTATGTGTGCTGCATAAATAGAAGTGATCTGAAGAGGAGGGTCTTCTCCAGTCTACAATCCTATAGTCACTCACATCCATCTCCTTCTCCTTTTTGAAAATGATAAAACACTTTAAAGACTTCATATATTTTAACTAGTTAACCTTTTTAATTTTTTGAGGTAGACGAGCAGAGACTCAAATTTGACATCTTTCTTCTCAGAGGAGTTTCCTAACCCTCCTGAGTATAAACTAGGTCCCTTGCTCCATAGCCTGAAAGCTGGTGACCACTTAGTTATTATCTGTTTAATATGCTTGCCCACTAGACTGTACACTCCCTGTGGACAGAGATCATGGCTGTGTGGCTTACCAGGTGTCCCCTGTGTCCAGCAGAAAGCCTAGTGTCTAGGAAATACTGAAGAATTTGCTTAATGAATGAATGCTGTCAGGTGTGACATCTACCAGCCAGCGCTACTAACACCCACATGCCACGGCTGCATGTTGTGGGCTGACCATGAAGTTAGGAGCCAGCCCTCAACACACAGCTATGCACAACGGCCAAGTAGGAGTTAGCTGCAAAGCCAAGTTCAGGGGGCCCTGTGTTGGCTGCCTCTAAGTCTTGCTCTCCACTTACCAGCCCTGTAGTACTAGGTGTTTTGTTTGAAGTACAGTAATTGTTCTCCCCCAGCAGGGCCCTCAGGCTCATAGGAGGTGATTGGTGTTGGAAGCTTCTACAAACTTTCCTTCAGAAGGCTTGGATTTAAGCTCACACTGCATCAACAGCTCTAGGCACTGTGTATTCATTAAGAGTTGCATCCTGGCTTAGAACTGGAGAAGCCTGGAGCTCTCACAGATGAGAAAACTGAGAGCCCCAGAAGTTGAAGGACGTGCCAAAGGGTCACACAGACCCAAGACTTCAACCTACAATTCCTAATTACTATGTCTTCATTATCTACTAGCATTTTTCAACCAGGTTTATGGGAGAGATAAAAGGGTTCTGGAAAGTCAAGACGACACAGGCAGCTACTTCCGTTTGGGTTTAGCAAAGGTTAACCTTGATCTTGAGCTATTCATGGGAGCTCATCACAGGCAGGAGATGCAAAGAGATCCAGGAGAATGTAGAGGGCTCATAATGTCACTGGAAACAGGGACAAGTTCATTATCACAGGGCTGGAAGGAACCTGGAGTGAGAGAAGTTCCCTAGAGCCAACCTGCTGATGTCCTAATGGAGACAGTACTCATTCCATCTGTGATAAGGAGCTACCGGAGACACTCCCAACATGGGTGGGGAGGAAAAACTACAGTTTTTGCCCCATTCCAGCTGTTTGCCTGTAATTCTCTATTGCAATTCCTTACAGTATCGTAGCCTATAAACAAGTTCCATGGTCACAATGTGGAGACAGGACAGAGAAATGAAGGTGTTCATCTGCAGGAGCTGAAAACACCAGCAATGACCAGGTCCCTTTGAAGACCAAGGAAAGAACCAGGGAATTGGGGACCAAAGCAACTCACCGTCCAAGAAACCTGAGTTCCAGCCAGAGTTGGCCTCTGTATGACCTGCTATGGTTCAGTGGTCCCTGATGGGTGGGGAAAAAGCATTTTCTGGGTGATGGAAGAACCTTCTCAGCTTTCACATGCATCAGTTAGGCAGAGATTAGATTCTGTGGGTAGGGGCTGCACACACAGGCACCCCAGGCTCTAGAAGGGGCTCAGGCTCCAGCTGCAGCCAGATAGCCCCTTTCTTGCAGGGATTGTCTTGAAAGCTGGGTGTTGTGCAAGGAGTCCCCATGCAGGACTCAAAGCTGCATTTTCACCTGCCTGAGGGGAATGTGAAGGGACATTCTGTAAAAACTGCCAACAGTTTTGTATGAACAACGATACCTTTTAAGTTAAAATAAAACCTTAAAAAATAAGTTAGCTTTTTTCCTGAGTTCTCCCTAACTGTAAACAAGAGAGCTGTGGAGTTCAGAACCCTGGCTTCAGGGTAGTGTTGTCATTGTTGCTTTTAAGAAGCAAATATCAAAGGCAAACATTCCCTAATGGAATATTCACTTGAATGCTGTCAATCAACATTAGTTCCCCAAGTGGATGGTGGGCTGGGAGAGGAGAAAAAAGAGCTATTTTATTTTGAGTTGCTTATTTTTATTGTCTGTTTTACTTACATATATATGACTCAGCTCCTAATAAAAACATTCATAATGTGAGAATCACTTTTTCTCAGGTCAGATTCCCCTGCAACAGACATGGCAGTCTTAAACTGGGGTGAGATACAAAGCTAAAAAATGCATTTAAATGTTGAGGGCATTTGGGCTCAGAGGTTGTACCTCTAGTCCTCTTGCAGGGAATGAACAGAACTTTGTTACACATCTACTAAAGGTCCTACTAGGTTCAGAGGTCCAGTGAGCACAAGACCTACTGTCCCTACCCTAACCAAGCCAATTGTCTGGCAGGTGCAGCGGACCTGCAGTGTTGTTTCCTATAACAAATGTTAACATAAGGGAGCATCTCCCCCAGATTTGGCAGAACAGAGAGGGCTCCCCAGAAGTGGCATCTATGATAGACTGTGGCAGTGAGGAGGGACAGCATAAAAGGAAAAAGTGTCCCATAAGAGTAATGGAGATAGTTGTTGAAACGGTTAAGCAAGAACACAGAATGTGCACATTTGCATCTTGAACCACTCTGGAGGCACAGTGAGAGAAGATGTACTAACAGACAGAACCAAGCTAAGAGTGAATCAGGTGGAAGGATGGTGGTGAACTGGCACACTGGGTAAGAAGCTATGAGCAGGAAGAAAAATGGATGTGGAGAAGGGAGCTAGAGGTCAACCAGGAGTTGATGAATGGACTGAAAGGGTGAGATAAATGGAGGCAAAAAAGACTCAAATTTGAGGTTCAGGCAATAGAGATGGAGGTAGAGTCTCTCACTGAGACAGACAACATAAGCAGGGACTGTGGGATGGGAGAGATGAGCTTGAAGCCATGCTCAGTCTCTCCAAACTCGCCAAAAGGCTCATTCCTCTTTAATTACTAATTTTACAGAACAGTGGGTTCACTATGACATTTTCATACTTGCATATTATGTATTTCAATCACACTCACTCTGCTCATTCCTGAGTCCTTGCCCTCTACCCAACCCCTGACAAGTTCCCCAACCCAAATGAATCCACTCATTGGCTTCTCCATTCCTTTACCCAAAGCTTGATCATAACAGAGAAACTTCCTTATTTGTCCACACTGACCCTGAAATAAACATGTGGTTTTTAACCCGAGCTGGACTCTCAAAGCCTCAGTATTGGCTTATTTTCAACCCCATCTGTCATCAGAGTAGCAGTTTCAAACCTTTTCAGCGGTTCCCAGGTCACATTTCTCCTAACAGATGGTCTAACCCAGCATTTCTTGGGCAACAGCATCAGCACCACCCAGAAACCTGTTAGAAATACAAACTGTGGGGCCCCACTCAAATCTACCTCTAGGAATGGGGCCTGACAATTGATGTTTTTGTTAGGTCTTGAGTTTATGAGCCACCATTTTAACTTATAGGGCCTGACTATATCTAAGAACCTTCTTCCTCTCCCTGCATTCATTAATTCTTGAGGCCCCGAAGGTGGTGTCCTTGGTTCTCTTCTCAAATTCTCTGGTCTGACCCTGAGGCCTTCAGAGACCTATTTCTAGTAGTTCAGTCATCACCCGGGCTTCCCCAAAGATCAATCCAAACCAAATTATTCTCCCATTTCACCCCTTGTATTTCTCTCCATGATTTTAGTTAATGGCATCACTTCAGCTCCCAGGCTGGATGTGTCCAAATCACCTCTGACCCATTCCTCTCACCACAAATACCTTATAAACCAACTGTTCATTTCCATCTCCTTCTCTGTATTACTTCTTGTCACAGCTTTTGCAATCCATTCCTACCTATTCTCCAGGTCTTCAGTTTGACCACAACCTGCCAGCATCCTATCTTCCATGTCTTCTTAAAAAGAAGAAACTTAAAAACTTTTCAAAAATTAAACTGGCAAAGCATACAGGGAAAGACTTATCCTTGACATGTAAGTTGGACGTATTTAAACAAGTAATAAGTTACTCCATAAAGACCACCTACCTATCACTGAGGTGTGTGGCATACATTATTACTAGTCTACTGACAACTCTATGGAGAGGACTTTGATCACAATACTGAAAGTTTAGAGATGTGACTTGCCGAAAGCCACACAATTAGGAAATGGAAACACTAAGATTTGATCCCAAGCCTCCCTCTTCCTTATGCTACTTTGCTACCTCATTTTGTATGACTGCTTTCTACTATCAGTAAGCCAAGTTCAGCACTGTGGTGAAGTTCATTTCCAATGCACTGCCAGCAATAGATAACTGAGCACTGAGGCCTCTAACTTTGTGACACATTCTAATTCCCTAATAAACCACAGACATTTCTTCTTTTCTTACAAATTCTTCAAAAACATCACAGTAGCCAAAAAATCAGGAAGTGACTGGTCCTGATTTTGCTTTGCTATGGGACGGAAGAAACCTTTTATTTAACAGCCTGCCTGTCAATCACAGTGGTCACTATACTAGGCATTTTCTTCACCTCCTCAAATTGATGTCAACTTGTCAGATGTAGGAGAGGGCAAATTGAGGTTGGAGTTCTAAAGAGGTAAAGAAGAATAAAATAGTTCAATCATACACACAAACACACACATACTTCCTACTACTGTTTATCCTGATTCTTGCAGGTGAATTGTTCTGTTGTTACCGAAAAAGAGGCACCCCTGCTTTCGGTCTACACTTTTAAGAGGTACAAATGAGAACATGACTCAAGGTAAAGAAAGCATCTTTTATAGTTTTATTGGTCCATTACTTTAAGTTAATTGAGGTAAAGAAACTTTTTTAAAATTTACAAGCTAATAGTTATCAAG